AATGACCATCAAAATGCCATCTGAAACTGTGTTTTGTTTGTTTGGTGGGGTGTTTTATGTTTTCCCCTCCTCAGTGATGGTCAGATTAACAAGACTTTAGAGGAAGGGTTGTGTGGCGTATGAACATCAGTTGTTTTGGTTGTCATTAGTAACAGTGGCCATAATATGTGATAAAAGGGTGATTATAGTGAAATTGAGATGTACAGGTGAGGAAAAATGATGCTGGTTTCACTGGAGAAGGCTTTATAACTTTGTTTCAGATCTGTGTTCTATCGCTCATACAAAGAGCAAGAGTCTAAAAAAGGGTATGACCAAGAGGAAGTTTTTGAAAAGCCTACGCGTGAAACTTGCCAAGGTAAGATATAGGAGCGTATGAAGACTGAGGTTTTTTAATTAAATTTTTGTGGGCAAGGTTGTTAATGTTGTTGAACTGATTCAGTCTTTATTTTGGGACATGTAAAAATAGCAGCAATGCCTGGATTAATAGCAAAATACATCAGTGAGATATTTGCATAAAATGAGACATTTTAGCAGTAGTCTGAAGTTGTACGCAGACTTGTTTAATTTCTACAGAACATCAAAGTCAATATGTTGAAAAATTTGGGAGTCTACTTTTTTCTTTTTTTTTCCCAAGGTATGAGACATGCAATCTATGACAAACTTGATGATGATGGTTTGATAGCGCCTGGGGTACGTGTGTCTGGGGATGATGTCATCATTGGCAAAACAGTAACGCTGCCAGAAAATGAAGATGAACTGGAAAGCACTAACAGACGTTTCACGAAGAGAGACTGTAGCACTTTTCTGCGAACTAGTGAGACTGGCATTGTAGATCAGGTCATGGTAACCCTTAACCAGGAAGGATACAAGTTCTGCAAGATTAGGGTGAGCACTGATGTGTGTGTGCTTTCTACTTTTAATCATTTTTGTTCTGTGTTTAAGTTACCAATTGAATGTTTTCCTCTGGCTTACAGGTACGCTCTGTAAGAATCCCACAAATTGGAGATAAATTTGCCAGCAGACATGGTCAGAAAGGAACATGTGGTATCCAGTACAGGCAAGAGGTAGTGATTTTTTTTTTTTTTTCTTCCTTGTTAACATTTTCTCTCTGATCTTTTTAGCATTGGAACTGCCTTAAGTGAGCTGTCTGTGGAATATCTACTCAGGTGCAATATATTGACTTAAATTTAGCTAAAATATGTTTAGAAAGAGACACAGCTGCTTCTTATGTTGGTACTTCAATGTGTTTGAAATGTTTTAAAATATTTAATTTTAATCCACTCAACTGCTTTTCTTAAAGCTGATATTCTGGGAAGTACTGACTATCTGTTTCCCTGCTCTAGGATATGCCTTTCACCTGTGAAGGCATCACACCTGATATAATTATCAACCCCCATGCCATCCCTTCCCGCATGACCATTGGTCACTTGATTGAGTGTCTTCAGGGGAAGGTAAGAAGAATCTTTTATGCTGCATGTCTGAGCAATATGAATTAAAATGTTTCTTGTTTGTTTTGTTGTGTTTTGGTTGGTTTTTTTTTTTGTAAAGATACTACTCCCTGGTATGTGTTAATCCACTAAAAAATAAGGATTGTTTTCCAGGTACTTGATAGCAAAAGCAGGTACTTGATAGCAAAAGCAGGTTTCTTGGGGAAGACCTACAATCCTGTAAATTTTGTCCAGCAAGTCAGACTACAGTGTACTCTCTCATCTGTTGCTTTTATTCCAAACATTTCCTGTGACCTAGAAAAAGGAGTAGCAAAATTGTTGATACTGTGTATTTTTTAAAATCTCACTATAAATTGTGTAGCAATAAACAAAGCAAGATAGGGTACTACCATGGGCATGGAATCTCAAGTTCTGGCATTAAGAGTTAAAACTGTTTGAAACAGCTTAGTGTTGTCTGACCAGTCCTTCAGAAATCTGACAAGCTTTTGCAAATCTCTTCTCTGTAGGTGTCTGCGAACAAGGGAGAAATTGGTGATGCTACACCTTTTAATGATGCTGTCAATGTGCAGAAGATTTCCAATCTTTTATCAGATTATGGCTATCATCTAAGAGGAAATGAGGTATAATCGAAATATCAATTCACTGTAATTTTTTTAATATACATTTGATGGATAGTAAGGCTTATGATTCAGTAATTGCATTGACTACTTCAGGTCCTCTACAATGGCTTCACTGGTCGAAAAATCACATCACAGATCTTCATTGGTCCTACATATTATCAGCGGTTGAAGCACATGGTAGATGACAAAATCCATTCTCGTGCAAGAGGGCCAATCCAGATACTTAACAGACAGCCCATGGAAGGTAGATCTCGGTAAGAGTATTTATTAGTTTCTATATAGCGTTTTCTTTTTCTTTGAAGTTTTTAGCCCTAAAAATTAGCTGCCTCAGCTTTGCAACTAGAACTTAATTAGCTCACCCCAACTAGCCATCCATTTTCATGTTAAGCCATCCATTTTCATGGCTTAAGATGATGTACTGGGTGCAGGTGTCAAGGTTTTGGTAGCAGGAGGTGCTGCTGGGGTGGCCTCTCTGAGAAAGGACCAGGGGTTGCCCTGTGCTGGACAAAGCCACTCACAGCTGGCTCAAACAGACCTGCCGCTGGCCAAAGCCGAGTCCCTCGTGGCGCCTCTGTGGTAACATATTTAAGAAAGGGTAAAAAATGCTGCACAGCAGCTGTGAGAGAGGAGTGACAAATGTGAGAGGAACAGCCCTGCAGACACCAAGGTCAGAGAAGGAGGAGGGGAGTTGGTGCTCCCAGCGCTGGAGCAGAGATTCCCCTGCAGCCTGTGGAGAGACCATGGTGAGGCAGGCTGTCCCCCTGCAGCCCATGGAGGACCATGGTAGAGCAGAGATCCACCTGCAGCCTGTGGGAAGCCCATGCTGAAGCAGTCTCCTGGCAGGAGCTGTGATCTGTGGGGGACCCATGCTGCAGCAATCTGTTCCTGAAGGATTGTACCCCGTGGGAAAGGCTCATGCTGGAGCAGTTTGTGAAGGACTATCCCATGGGAGGGACCCTACGCTGGAGCAGGGAAAAAGTCTAAGGAGGAAGGAGCAGCAGAGAGGAGCTCTTATGCACTGACTGCATGACCCCATTCCCCATTCTCCATGTGACCATGGGGAGTGGAGGAAGGAGTTGGGAATGAAGGAGTGAAGTTGAGCCTGGGAAGAAAGTAGGGGAGAAGATGTTTTTAGTTTTGTCTTTGTTTCTCACCATCCTACTCTAGTTTCATTTATTGCTCATTAAAAATAATTTTCCCCATGCTGAGTCTCTTTTGCCTGTGATGGTAATTGATAAGTGATCTCCCTGTTTTTATCTCGACCCATGAGCTTTTCCATCTTATTTTCTCCCCCTGTCCTGTCAAAATGGGGGAGTGAGAGTTGCTTGGTGGGCACCTGGCAGCCAGCCAGGGTTAAACCCACCACAGATAAGTAGGGAATTATTTGTTTACTTCATTTTGCTATACAGTTGTGCTGTGGCTGTTAGGTGTCTGACATCTGCTTTAGAAATGCTCAGCAGCAGTTACAAATTATTGTGTTTGCATTCTCTCTGTAAGTTTTATTCTGATGTGTTAGAGGAAAATTACTGCACGGCTCTACTCCTGTCTTGTAATACTGCTGTTGTGTTTCTGATAATTTACTTATTCTACCACCAAGAACTGATGTATTTTGCCAATGAACTCAAAAATTGAGTTTGTTTTCTTTTCTTTTCCTGTTTTCAGTGATGGTGGCCTTCGTTTTGGAGAAATGGAACGAGATTGCCAGATCGCTCATGGAGCAGCCCAGTTCCTGAGAGAAAGATTGTTTGAAGCTTCCGACCCATACCAAGTCCATGTCTGTAACCTCTGTGGAATCATGGCGATTGCAAACACAAGGACTCACACCTATGAATGCCGGGGATGCCGCAATAAAACTCAGGTACGTGTGGTTTTCATCAACCAGTGTTTCTCTTTGTGGCTAAGAGGAAATGCCACTCAGGTGAACAGGAGGATGGGGAAGTAAATATTTAAAGAAGCACCAGAACGATTGCTGTTTTAGTTTCATAACTGCTTTAAGTGTTTATAGTGTCCTAGTTAATTTGGATGTTTCCTTATTAATTTTACAGTGTTGGCTTGTCACTTGGCAGGAAATGCTGTTCAAGTATTTTGCAGTGCAGTTTTCAGAGACTTTAAAAGTAAATCCTTGAGAGCTTATTTTTAGAAGTAAAACTCAGAATCACAGGAATTTAGAGCCATTGCCCTTGTGACTGTCCCCATGAAGACATTTATGCTTGCAAAGCTGGGTCCCCATGGGAGGTCTTTTGTGTTGCCTTTTTTTTTTTTTTTAATTAAAAAAAGCTCTGTAGTGTGTGCTTGGTTACAGAACTATGTCAAGGGAGAGTGGCAGCAGATATAAAAATAGTTGCCTTAAACAGGCTTGTTCTTGTGCTAGGGACTGACTGCTCCAACTCTAATAACAGCATTGGGGTTACTGAAGAGATGTGTACTAGAAATTTTAACTGCATTTACCGCGCATCAGGCACGCTTCACTATGCATATGTTCCCTTGTTAAATGGCTCTTACTTAAGATCCGATCCCTTGGCTGCAGGTTTTATCATTAAAAATGTGTTCTGAATAGCTGCTGTGTAGCCTTTCCAGACAGTCTCAGCTTTCCTCTTGCTTTGTTTCTCTCTGTGAGCAAGTCTTGTCAAATGCTTTCACGCATAACTTCAGGTTCACTTTTGAGCCAAAAACTTGACAAGTTATTTGTGTCGAGGGTGGTGGTAGGAGTGCTTATCACAAGCCTTTTGAAATCTCTTTCCAGATATCTTTGGTTCGGATGCCCTACGCCTGCAAACTCCTCTTCCAAGAACTGATGTCTATGAGTATTGCACCTCGTATGATGAGTGTTTAGCCTTTTAAATTTTTTTTTTAAAGTGATGAGACTGAAGTACTTGGGTTTTGTTTCACTTTGTGTAGGTTGCATTTAGCAGATAAGTAAAACTGTATTTTATGTGCTGTTCAAAAGTATGTTTATTTCCTGTAAATAGAATTAAAATTTGTAATTAAACTTGTGAATCTCTTTATTTGTGTATCTGTGAAAGAAGTGTGCAAGCAAATTGGTAATCAAAGACTATAAGGGAGTTAAGAAGGAATGATTAGTGAGCTAGAGGAAGCCAGAGGTTGTAGCTAATTTAAAACTGTGCATAAGTGGAAGTCTTCACATCACATCACAGCTCTGCACCATCATCTGTGGAAAAACAAAAACACGTTACGCTCTGTACTGTTCCAAGGGGTAATATCACAACTTGGGCAGAAGCACTGTGAGTTAGCTGAGGGTGAGACCTCACACCTCAGTCCTTGACCCCCTCCTTCCTTCTTTCCTTCCTTCCTTGACTGCAGCAGCAGGGGGATGGTAATAGATGGCATTTTTCTGTGCTGAGATCACCTGGACACGGGCCGCAGACTCCCTAACGGCGTAGTGTGTAGCTATGATGTCTGACAGTTCGTTCCATTAAGGCTATTAATTTCCTTTAAGTAGTCGTGGACTGCCAGCTTACTGCTTAGCTACAGCATGCTTACTTGAGAGCTTTCCTACAGCTGAAAAGAAACAGCTGTGACATGTGGTGTGCACAGAAGAAATAAACCATGAGGCCATACAGGCGGCACTACAGCCTTGCAGTCGAGTTACTGTGAGAGTGGGGACGAACATCTTCCGTTCTGGGGTATACGTGTGCTGCTCATGGCGTGACTCCGTAAAACTCAATTTCATTCACATCCATAAATAAGATGTTTGAAAAGGAATTAGAGACTAGCTAAAAACCTTTAGCAAAGTTGCTATGCCTAAGTGATACTGGGCTTCATTTTATGCTCTTATTTCAATGCCAGGTCCTGTTAATAGGAAGTCTTTCAGCTATTCAGGGATAGAAGGATACAGAAAGTCAAGACTATATCATTTGGATAAAGCTACTGGGATTATAACTAAGGATTATGTCCAAAAGGGAATTTGGGCAGCACAGTGGTCTCTAGCTGGATGCTTTGTTCCCAGTGCCTCTGCCTCTAGTGCAGCTACACTTACTGTTCCAGCTCTCCAGATTTATTCCGAAGCACACATGGCCTTGGTACTAAGCCATCCTCTTTGCAGCTGGAATGAGGGTGGTTGGTTTGCCATTGGCTTTGTACACAGCCTGGCAAAGAGGACCTGGGTTTGAAAACTGGCTGAGGGCTGGAGGGTAAAGGCTTCAGGTCTTGCCTCAAGGCCTGCTGTGCTGTATCTGTCCCCTCCTGGGTTTGACACTCCAGTATGCAGAAAGAACGGCAGGGACTGGGATGTTTGCAGGATGGGGAAGAATAAGGAGGTGGCAGGGACTTGGCAGGAATTTAAGTGCGTGGAGTTCCCCCTCTGTTTTGGGGCTGGTTGTGCCAATGATGCTCCCAAGAGAGACGGGCAGGTTTGGAAGCATCCTGAGAACAGTGAAAGGAGGACACAAATTTAGGGCTGGAAAACCACTGAAAGTTGCTTTGTAAAAACCCCAAAAGGTGTTTTTAATTTGGTATCTTCATCTCCAGTACTTTACAGCACTTGGGGGGTTATTTAACAATCCCTTGAGAACTCGAGCAGCTGAGATTTGCTGGGGATGTTTTGCCAAACCCAGTAAAAGCTGCACGTTAAACTGATACTTTTAGTGTGCATTTTTTTTTTTTCGGAAAGCATTAAACAGAGGTGGTCCTTCTGTATCAAATAACTGAGTAAACTGTTAGGGGAAAGAGCTGCTGAGTGTTCAACCACACGACCTACCTTTGGTGAGGGCTATTTCATGCAGAGTTTCCACAACGTGGATTTTTGCAGAAGCTGTTGCCTCTCCTTTGGCATTCGATGCGTGACACTCATACTCTCCAGCATCCTCTTTGCTCAGAGGAGATATCTAGGGGAAGAAACACACGCCCCCATCCTCCAGTAAGAATCCTGCGCATAGGTGGAGGTGATTTTGTTTTAAAGTGTCTTTATATAACTTGTTAATGGCTTGAGACACAATGAAATGAACAGAGTGCATGAAGTAACAGTTAACCCTTAGGGACCACGCTGACTGCACGATTTCTTCCGTCTGCTCTAAACAGCCTGGTTCAGATTGCGGTGGCTCTCTCCAGTAAGGTTTGGGACAAGCACCCACTCCTGTGGATCAGCCTAGCTTTCTTCTCCTCTGCTAGGCCAGATTACCTGTGCTGTAACGCTCCCTCCTCTTCTTTTATTGTTTACTTAGTCTAGAGATGTGTCAGACCACTGCATGCTTGGGAAGGGGAGGGAGGCAGGAAGAAAAAGCCTTCCTACAATATGCGGCATCCAGTCAGTCGGCTCAGCAAAATCATCAGCTCAAATCTTTCCCTCTCCTTGTCTGCACCTCTGCTTTTGCAAGTGGTGCGGGAACCAATGCCCTGAGCCGCAGCTCCCCTGCTGCCAGCTTCTCTGCAGCTGAGAGCTGTCATACTTGCAATTCCTTCACCGGGATGCCCGGCAGCTCCCTCTGGCCACCCTACCGCTTCCCTCTGATCGCGGCGGTCGCTGGTTAGCCCGCAGGTACTCCTGGAGCTTAGGAGCTCTGCTGAGTGAGAGCTGATGGCTTCTACGCTGTGCAGGTCTTAGGCAGGTGATGTGCTTCACCGAGGAAAGGACAGTTCTGCCAGATCTACGAGGGCTCCTCAGCTGTGGGTCTGTCTTAGGGATGCCTTGCCTCTGTACTGATTCCTTCCTACACGTGGAGCAGGTCTCCTTCCCACTAATGGCAGCAGGAAAAGAATGACATACAGAAAGGAGATCTTTTATTTAAGTCTCGCCTTCTCTGATTGTAGAATGCATGCTTTTACTGCATGCTAGACAGAGGTGAAAAACTGCCATGGGTGAGGCCAGAGCCAGCAGCCACCCCTACCCTTCATGCCTAATTCACGCAGGTTGTTTTCCTCTAAATGCCCTGGTTGTTGCCGTGTGTCGTCTGTACTGTTCTCTGTTCGTGAGTTGTTTGCAAACCGCACTGTACTGTTTGCGCAGCTCTGTGCATACACAAAGTACTTACGAGCACCCAGCCAGTCACTTCGTGTTTCTCAGGGCCCCCTCGGGTCTGGATAGCTAAGTTTTCCCGGTCCCCGGGCAGAAGCTCCATCCTCTGGACACCATACTGTCCCCGAATTATCTAAATGGAAGGGCAGAAAGGTGTGAGAACTTTGGGGCTTATTTATGCTAGAACTGTTAGGACCATACCCGCACACAGACAACAAAGAGCAACACTAGTTTTACCTGAATGTGTTTTGTGCAGGAGCAGTGGTTTTTCTAGTGCCAGCATTTCACCTTATCCTCCGTGTACTGCAGCCCCACGACCCCGATGCCTCAGCGTCCGCGCTGGGGCTGCATTCACCTTGCCTCAGCCGGAATGGATAGAGCAGCACGGCTTTCTGGTGCGGACGGTGCTGGGCAGTGGGGTGTGCAGACCTGCCCTGCACTGACAGTCTCACAGAACTCATGTGCTTGTTCACAAGGGTGCGTTTAACCCATCAAACGATGCCTGTGCTGAACAAGGAAGATTCGGCTGCCTGCAGCTGCTGGTGGCTATACATCAACCCAGTTCAGCCGGCTGGAGCAAGCGCCCTCTCGGCCCGGGCC